TCCTTTCGCGTGACGGCTTCCTTTTTATCATTTGACACTAACGTATCTTGAGAAACTTGGATGATTAAGTTACAACTTGATGGTGAGCCATTGAGATGACAAGAATATATTTATATCTTTTTACTAATCCAATTGACAGAGTTAAATCAGATGCAAACCGATATAGAAGTTTTATTTTTAATTACAAATTGTTTTTATTGAGATGAGACACACATTATATACGAGCGGAAATAAATTATTGTAAAGATATATTTTTTAGTATTATGCGATTTCGCATTTTTTCTAATTTCAATAATAATTTACGATAAATTTATCACCAGAAAAGTAATTTTATTTTTGTCTTTATTGGCGATAAATATGAAATATTTATAATTTATTATTTGTTTAAGTTGGAAATATTATTTCAGAAATGGTTTGTAAGTGACATATGTCATTTTGAAAATGACGCTAATTAAATTCTGAGATACAACATGCAATTGTTATACGCTTATAAATTCAAGAAATATATTTGTCACGAAAAGAGTAACAGTTCTACATGACAATTCTAAATTTCTGCTAAATATCGACAAATCTGAATTATATTTAAAAATGTTTGTTTTTTTCTAAAGTGCTGTTTATTAATTCAATTCAATTCAACAGTGCGTTAAATTATGAATTGTTCAAAATATTTGACGAAAAACTAGCAATTTCGCAGAAATAAAATATTCACGGAATTTTTTATTACTCAACACTTAGCCGTTATCCGACTTTGCCTTTCAATTGTTGGGTTTTGATTTACTTTATTTTTAACATAAGCAGCTCACACCGCGTTAACAAAGACATTTAATTAAAACGACAGGAGGGAAGAGACGATCGATAAATCCTGAAAGACAAACACTTCGCTGTGTACACTACTTACCGTACCTACCGCTATCCCGCGCTTTCGGTACGGTCCAACCAACACCTTCACGAGCGTGTTGTAACGCATTCGTGTAACACAGGCGGAGTTTACCCCGAGTAACCCTACGCTACGCAGCAAACTGGCGCAGCGCTCTGCCCTTCGCCGTAGTCCTGATTTCCGAGCATCGTTCAAGCCATTCCGGTAGTTTTAACAGGACGCAAGGCAGCGTCCGGATTGGTTCTCGGCCGGTTCCCCGAGGTCGTTCTCGGCGCGAGGGAAGGCACCCTGGGGTACTTTGGGGTTACCTCGTCACACACTATGAAACCAAATGGAAATCAATCCACGAGCTGCCCCCGGCTTTTACCCGTGGCTTTTACAACGCATACAGTTCCTCGACGCGCAGCCGACACGTCGCGTATGCGCGCAAGTGTCGAAAGCGACGCGGGCTTTTGTTGTAAAACGGTAGCTCGTAACAACACCGAATGCAACTGAGGTCCTATATTTTCGATACGCGGTTAGAGCACTATATAGTGAAACATCTGCAATTTTTTTAAAAAACGAACGAACGAAATCAGGATGTTTGGAACTTTTTCCTATAATCGAAAATATATAAATATTTTAATGTTAAAATAAATAAAAAATTATAAAATATGATTCCATAGAGATAGAAAAAAAACATTTTTTCAGAAACAAAATCGAGCTCAATTTTCTTACAAACTAAAATTTTATGATATTTGGCATCGTGCGAAATTCTTTTCCGGCTTGTTTCCGCGAGTATTGGACGACATCGGATAGGAGATCGATACCTGGCGAAGCCGTATCCTCCGCATTACACATTTTACGATGAATTTAGCGACTCGTCGCTCCGCGTTACATTCACGAGAACGTGTCGTCATGAAGAGTCCGACCGGAATTTTTGAGCGCTGTCACACGTCGAGTTCGCGCGTTTCGATAACGTCAGAAGTAACGTGATGTTGAATTAAATATCATATGTGATTTTCGGCTGATTTATGCGTCCCAGAAACGTTAGCATTTTTTTCCACAATAAGTGCTACAGGACGGATAGACATGATAAGATAATTATGTGAATGCTCGAAATATGTCTGACACAGATACATTACATGTTTATTTACATCTTTATTGTTTCCATATTAAGCTGTGAAGTGAAGCGGGCAATAATTAATAGCACTAATTTTGTCAATAATTTTAATAAATTATAACATTGAATCGAGATTATTTTAAGTTTTTTTAGTGTCACGTTGCGGGACGATGAAAATCATTTAATAAACAAAAAAATCGTAACGAATAAATCGACTTGTAGCAGAAATCAATATTGAAATCACGGAATACAAATGAAAGCGAGCATGCAAATGAAACCCAAATATCCCGCCATGCTCTAAAATAATAACAGAAAATCGTCGTGCTGTTTGCAAGAAATAAAGACGCATCGAGCGTATTAAGCACGGATGTAATAATGGAATTTGATAGTCTACTTTTAAATTGAGCAAAACTCGGCTAAGAGAAAACGGGAAAATGTTTTCACAATTTTTATAAATGCATATAAAATTAATTATAAAGTAACAGATCAATAATATTTGGAGTAATTTACAAAAAATATGTCATATTTTATGTAACAAATATTACGTATCCGAAATGCTTATATAATTTATATAGTTAACGTGTTGTCTATGTTCAACACCAATATTAAGTCGTCCCGTGGTTCTCCATTTGTTCCGCTTCGTTTTTTCGCTTCTCGTTTGCGGAGGTCGGGTTAGCGGGCGTGAGAGGGACATTGGGGTTACCGCGCGATCCATATAGAAAAGTAACCCCTACTATTTCCCCCCTCCGAAAAAAAAAACGAACAGCGGGACCCTCTCTCGCTATTAGACGTTTTTACAATGAATCCCTATTTACGAGCCTGTCAATGCGATATTTATGTTGGCCGATATTGCGTCGCCGAGCGAGTAATTGGAATTTTCCTAAGCGCGACTCAGCGCCGAGTCAGCCACTCGCTCTCGCTCGATTCTTCGCTCTCGATCCCGAGACTCTTCAGCCTCTTTCCCCTTCGAATCTCACCGGCGCGGCTCGCTTCGTTCCGCCGGGGCACCCCTGCGCATTCTGGCGAAATTTATACGCGCTTGTGCATACGTATGTACCCAGCTATCTACCTATCTACGTGTATGTAGATTTGCTCCCGGAAGGATAGGGAAGTTTCGATCTTTTTATCTGGCAGAGCGAAGTCAGGAATATCGATGAAGAGCGCGACCGGGATAAGTACAAGTAACCTTTCGCTGAGTACTTACCGGTGCGTGCTGAACGGATTTGCGTGCAAATTTATATCGGCTGTATTGTGTTTTTATTGTTTATTCACGCAGAATCGCACGACTTTTTGCAACCCTTTAAAGAACTTCACAATATTATGTCTGTAGAGTATTGAATATTCCATTGAGCTTTTATCATCAATGAACAGAACTGGATTTGGTTTCACAAAATGTCAACATATTCAAAAAAATATCCCTCCTTCTCTCTCTCTCTC